ATTAGGCTGGCACCCTTCCTAGCCACATTCTATAAGGAATTGAAGACGTGGATGTTTCGTTGTGCATTTGATTGACGATTCCTTGATAGATGGTCCCTAACCATGATCTGAACTCAAGTTCCTATATGTGATTTCTACATTTTTAAGTTGAGTTGAAATGATCCTGTTATAATTGCTCTATTCCTATGCTACTATTCGTTCTATCCACCTTTTGACCAGCCTATCCTCTAACTAGTTTACATATTGGTCCCCTCCCTGCAAAAAATGAGACTAGAGGTATCTATGTTTTATGGTGCTTGTTTATCATTGTTTATGATGATACTGTTCTTAGGTTGTTTTAATATTTTACTGTTCTGATTTTAATTGTATGTTGCCTTGGGCTTGGCCCCATGTAAGCTGCCCTGAGTCCTTTCAGGGAGATCGAGGTGGGGTAGAAAAATAAAGTTCTTCTTCTTCTGACTCAGCAAACTACAACTTCCAGGATATCCATAGCATTGGAACGTGGCAGTTAAAGTGGTGTCAAACTGCACCCTAAGGGATTTGGGCAATGGCAGCCTTTGCGGATAGATCCATAATCCTTAGGTTTTCACTCCTAAGGTGAAATATTTATCTATCCAACTATCCATCTCCCACATCTAAAAAAGGGAAGAGATTTGAGCAGAGCTTGTGGATTTCATTAAGAGCCTTCCTACCTTTCCTCCCATAACTCAAGCACCACTTGTGTTGCTAAATGTAAGCCAGATGCTCAGTTGAGTGGCCACAAATGGGGGAGTAATGAAACAAAGCATGGACCTTTGATAGTTGTGCCAAAGAGGAATGTTACAGTCTTCAGCACCTGCAGAAATCTCTCTCTCTTTTTTAAAAAAGTCCTTTTTTATGAATTTATACTGAGTACTAAAGAAACAGGCCTCTGTACATAGGCAGAGCACCATCCTGAGTAATCATAACCAGCCAGTTCCTTTGAGAATTTGAAAGTTTCCCAATTACGATTTCAATACAGAGTTTAACGCTGTTCCTGTTTGGTTATTTATTTCTTGTGTTGTCGAAGGCTTTCATGGTTTGCTGTGAGTTTTCTAGGCTGTACAACCATGTTCCAGAAGCATTCTCTCCTGACATTTCACCCACATCTATGGCAGGCATCCTCAGAGGTTGAGAGGTTTGTTGTCCAAGGCTTTCATTGCCAGAATCACTGGATTGCTATGAGTTTTCTAGGCTGTATTGCCATGTTCCAGAAGCATTATCTTCTGAAGTTTCGCCCACATCTATGGCAGGCATTCTCAGAGGTTGTGAGGTTGTTGTTGAAGGCTTTCATGGCTGGAATCACTGGGTTGCTGTGTGTTTTTCAGGCTGTATGGCTATGTTCCAGAAGCATTCTCTTCTGACGTTTCGCCCACATCTATGGCAGGCATCCTCAGAGGTTGAGGAGTCTGTTGGAACCTAAGTAAGTGAGGTTTATATATATGTGGAATGTCCAGGGTGGGAGAAAGAACCCTTGTCTGCTTGAGGCAAGTGTGAATGTTGCAATTTGCCACCTTGATTAGCATTTAATGGCCTAGTAGTTTCAAGGCCTGGCTTGTTGCTGCCTGGGGGAATCCTTTGTTGGGAGGTATTAATTTCTTGTCTTACCTTTCTACTAAAACTTGGACCATAGTTACATATGTAACACAAAAGATACAGCTAAATGACAAATGTTACATTATTATAATATTCTAAGCATTGCTATTCTAAACCAGATACATTGAAAATAATATAAACATACCAAGGTGGATTCACATAGAAAAGAAACCCTATCCTCTTAGCCCCCAGGGATGGAGAAAGTTTAGACTTCTGGATGTTATTGAACTACAAGTCCCATCGTCATACTTATGCTGTCTGGTGCTGATGGGAGTTGCAGTCCAGCATCTGCAAAGCGTCACATCCCCCACACTTACCTTTGGCTAATATTTGAGGAGGCAAAATCTTAAGCAGAATGCTATAGCCCCAAATTGCATCCTTGTGGTATTTGTGTGACTCCAAGTCACCTATTGAGTTATAGAGATGATATATATTTCATAGGGGGTAATTCCGTAAAGGTAAAGGTTTCCCCTGACATTAAGTCTAGTTGTGTCTGACTCTGGGGGGTGGTGCTCATCTCCATTTCTAAGTCAAAGAGCCACATCACCTCCAAGGTCATGTGGCCGGCAAGACTGCATGAAGCGCCATTACCTTCATGTAGAAGCGGTATCTATTGATCTCCTCACATTTGTATGTTTTCAAACTGCTAGGCTGGCAGAAGCTGGAGCTAACAGTGAGAGCTCACCCCGCTCCCCAGATTCAAACCACCAACTTTTCAATCAGCAAATTCAGCAATTTAATCTGGTGTGCCCCCAGCAGGCCCAAGGGGTAATTATAATTTATTAAAAATTATCCAGTTTGTTCCACCTAGGATGCAGCTACACTGTTGAATTAAGGCATTTTGACATCATGGTTCAATGCTATAGAATAATAATAATAATAATAATAATAATAATCTTTATAAACTGCTCTATCTCCTCGGGGGGACCCAGAGCGGTTTCCGAGTAACATCATCAATACATACAGAGTAAACAACCATAAGATTAACAAAACAATATAAGCATAAAAATTGTCGCCATAACACATATATATTAAAAGTAGAATCATTGGAGCTTTAATTTTCCATGGCCCATAGCCTTCTCTGCCAAAGAGTGCTGGTGCTTCACCAAACTACAACTTCTAGGATCCCATAGCATTCAGCTATGGCAGTGTAAGTGGTGCCAAACTGCATTAATGTGGCAGTGTAGATGCACCCTTACGAGTATGACACAAAAGTGACCACCTACTTCTCATGTTAGTGTCAGAGCTAAAAGCTAAGTCAGAGCTATACTGTTTCTGAACATGATTTGTGTGTGTGTGTGTGTGGAGCAACTTGCACTTCTGGGTGAGGGAATTGGCCGTCTCCAACGACGTTGCCCAGGGGACGCCTGGATGTTTGATGTTTTACCATCCTTGTGGGAGGCTTCTCTCATGTCCCTGCATGGGGAGCTGGAGCTGCCAGAGAGAGCTCACCCACTCTCCCCAGATTTGAACCACTGACCTATTGGTCAGCAGTCCTACTGGCACAAGGGTTTAACCCACTGCGCCATCTGAACATGATTCATCTCAATATCACAGCAAATAAGACATTCCCTGCTAATATTACTAAAAATTACATGGAGCAGTTCACCCAATAACATTCTTTGAAATTATGTGTGTACGTGGAAGGAGTGGATTTTTACCTCATTTAACCACCTTCAAAAAAGCACAAACAACATATCCTTTCTTTGCCAGTGCGTAGCCACAACAAAACCCTCAGACTTCTAGGCTGTTCTGATAAGAAAGCGAGGGCATGTGCTCCAAACAGGGCTTTTCTTCCCTCCTTTCTAGAAATTGAGGACTATAAATGCTCATATACAGACTGACATTGCACTAGCAGCTTTTTAATGTCAGCCCAGGGAGGGACTATTTGCTCCAAGGTTTTCCTTTACGTCTCTGCTTACATTCCAGGGGAGAAAAACTTTCCAGGCTTTTTAATTCCAACCGAGTAAGGTTTGGAAAGCGTGAAAAGGACCAGGAGGGATGGGGACTTTTATTCCCTGAAAAATTGGCAATCGGAGGAGAAAAGTCAAATGACTCGGCTTTGATTAGTTTCCAGATTTGCAGCCAAAAGAACAAGTCAGATTAATCTGCCTATTTTTATTAAAAATGTATAGCTAGGGAAGGCAATTAATTAGCTCGGACCCATTTTATACTGTCGCCACCAGGCTCCTTGGCCTCTGGTGTCCAAAGCATCTTTGGATCACTCATTGTTTGCCAACAATTCACAGCCCCTCCTGTTCCTAGGCACTGAGATATTCCCATGTAAGTCCCTTCTTCCTCTATCCCACCAGATCCCATATGTGCATGGAAGTTAAGTAGTGGCAGGTGTGGTTACTACTTGGATGGGAAATACACTGACAGCAGTATGTGAGAAAAAGATCTTGGGAGTCCTCGTGGACAACAAGTTAAACATGAGCCAACAATGTGATGCAGCAGCTAAGAAAGCCAATGGGATTATGGCCTGCATAAATAGGAGTATTGTGTCTAGATCCAGGGAAGTCATGCTACCCCTCTTTTCTGCCTTAGTCAGACCACACCTGGAATACTGTGTCCAATTCTGGGCACCGCAATGTAAAGGAGTTGTTGACAAGTTGGAATATGTCCAGAGGAGTACAACTAAAATGATCAAGGGTTTGGAGATCAAGCCCTATGAGGAGCAGCTTAAAGTGCTGAGTGTGTTTAGCCTGCAGAAGAGAAGGCTGGGAGGAGAGATGATGAGGGCCATGTTATATGAAGGGAAGTCATAGGGAGGAGGGCGCAAGCTTGTTTTCTGCTGTCTTGGAGACTAGTAGTACAGAACAATGGCTTCAAACTACAGGAAAGGAGATTCCAACTGAACATTAGGAAGAACTTCCTAACTGTGAGAGCTGTTCAGCAGTGGAACTCTCTGCCCCGAAGTGTGGTGGAGGCTTTTAAAAAGAGGCTGTATGGCCATTTGTCGAGGGTGATTTGAATGTAATTTTCCTGCTTCTTGCCAGGGGGTTGGACTGGATGACACACAAGGTCTCTTCCAACTCTATGATTCTTTGAAATACCAGGCTATATTTCAGAGGAAGGCACTGGCAAAACCACCTGTGAGTATTCCTTGCTTCAGAGAACTCTAGGAAATTCATGGAGTTGCTATAAAGTAATAAATGACTTGAAGTCATTTCCCACCAATGTACAAAAAGTATGCAAAAATTATCTAAAGGTGGCCAAAACACTGCTTTGATTTTAAGAAAAGAAACAGAGATACTCTGCTGAACTTTCAGGGTAATTCTATGCAGCCTAGAGCAGGTTTTCAGGCCATCTTCCATCCCTCATCCAGAACAACTTAAACTAGGTTTTTGGCATCATATACATTCAAAATAATATAATATGCCATGTGTTCTGTAGCAAAATGTATTTTCATATTCCACACTGAGCATGTGCAAAAATTCCTTTTTTCTGACATCTAACTGCAGCAGGCTTTCGTGTATGCAGGATGATAGAAAAGTGATCATAGGTATAATATCAATGCAGTTGTGAGCAGCACCAGCAGCACCAACATTTTTCAGTTCAGAAAGTAAGCTCTTCTCCTAAATCAATCTCCAGTATGTTCCCAAGGAAAGGTTTCCATCAGGCCTTGCATCTTCTCCTGGTAAACCCTGTTAAAGTGTTCAGATTGTGCCACGGTGAAATGAGTCTTCCAGTCTCCACAGATTCCTATACAATGAGGGTGAAAGCAAAATAATCCATTTTACCCAGTTGGCTTACAGATGTCCTAATCCAGGGCTGGATAGCAATGGCAATCCAATCAGCTGTTCCCATCCACTCTAATTGGAGCCCTTGGTGGCGCAATGGGTTAAACTCTTGTGCTGGTAGAACTGATGAATGACAGGTCAGAGGTTCGAAGCCGGGGAGAGCGGATGAACTCCCTCTGTCAGCTCCAGCTCCCCATGCGGGGACATGAGAGAAGCCTCCCACAAGGAAGGTAGGTATCAAAACATCCCTGGGCAACATCCTTGCACACGGCCAATTCTCTCACACTAGATGCGACTTGCACCTTCTCAAGTTGCTCCTGACATGAAAACATATCCACGCTAATCAATATAACTGGTGATTACCACATTATGAGAATTACATTTGAAAAACATTTTCAGGGCCACCATCATCCACATCTATCCAAAAACATTAGCATCTTAAATAATGAGATTCTTTTGTTCGCAGGTAGATTCTGTTACTATATACTTAATAAAGCAGTTCCAATGTTTCGTAAAACATAAGTTGTCCAGTGCCAATTTGTATGTCAGGTTCTCTGTGAGCCAAAAATAATCCAACATGTAAAACCAGCATTCCCAAAAAGAGTGTTGCTAGACACATACAAGAACTTGGGCCCAGGTCCACATGACACAGCTCTATAAAACCTGCATATGTACATTTAGGTCATATGGACACATTTAGAAATAGTTACTTGGATTCATTAAAAGTTTGCAAAGGTAAGGCCAGACAGTTCTACAGTTTTACATCCAGATGATCTCGAATAGCTAATTTCTACAACTTATTTATTTTTCTTCACAGATCAACTGTATTTTCTTCATTGCAATTATTTTATAATTGGGAGGGGAGGGGGCGGGATGAGTTGCTGATATTTGTTTCTCATGAGTTCCTAAAATGGTAAAAGGATGGGAAAGAAGCAGAGGAGGCATGACAGCTGGAGGGATATCTCCATCTCTTTCTGTGCTCTGCAGTTCCTGGGGTTTTCTCTATTTGTTTATTTCAGTGTTTCTCAACCTGAGGGTTGGAATCCCTGGGGGGGGGGGTCACATGGGGGGTGTCAGAGTATTTTCTGTTGGTCGTGGGGGTTCTGTGTAAGAAACTTGGCCCAATTCTATCGTTGGTGGGGTTCAGAATGCTCTTTTATTGTAGGTGAACTATAAATCACAGCAACTACAATTTCTAAATGTCAAGGTCTATTTTCCTCAAACTCCACCAGTATTCACATTTGGGCATTTTGAGTATCCGTGTCAAGTTTGGTCCAGATCCATCATTGTTTGAGTTCACAGTGCTCTTGGATGTAGGTGAACTACAACTCCAAAACTCAAAGTCAATGCCCATCAAACCCTTCCAGCATTTTCTGTTGGTCACGAGAGTTCTGTGTGCCAAGTTTGGTTCAATTCCATTGTGGGTGGAGTTCAGAATGCTCTTTGATTGTAAATGGACTATAAACTCCTAAAGGAAAAAATCAGTACACCCCCCTCACCCCCAACTCCTAAAGGACAAAATCAGTACACCCCCCCCCACTCACCCCCAACTCACCCCCAACCCCACCAGTATTCAAATATGGGCGTATCAGGTATTTGTGCCAAATTTGGTCCAGTGAATGAAAATACATCCTGCTTATCAGATATTTACATTACGATTCATAACAGTAACAAAATTACAGTTATGAAGTAGCAGAAAAATAATGTTATGGTTGGGGGTCACCACAACAAGAGGAACTGTATTAAGGGGTCATGGCATTAGGAAGGTTGAGAAACACTAGTTTATTTATCTATTTACTCTATTTATACCCTGCTCTTCTCATCCTGAAGGGGACTCAGTGTTGTGGTGCTTTGTGACTTCTACATCCTCACAATATTCATGCCTAGAGGAAGCCCTCCAAGGAAGCACCCAGTGCCCCAAAAGGGACTCAAGGCAGTTTACAATCCAAAAATAGGCACACATTCAATGCCTTACAAAGTTACAAACAAACATCATAATAAAAACTAGGGAGATGCACAATGGTCAAGAGAAAACAACACATACCAGCACCCCTTGCATACAGGAAGCACAATCCACCTGTTTTGCTTCTTTTGGAGGAAAATAGATGCATTGTTCCTCTTATCCTTTCTCTTCACTTCTTTAACTTCCTTTTCTGCTTGTAGAGAAATTGCCCTTTCCCTTTTCTGTGAAATTAAATGTTAATTTGCTTCCAGTGTATGTGTTTTGATATAATTCCATACAAGGAAAAGCTAACGGAGCACAGGAGACAGAGTTACTGCTGCTGTGTTATTGTGTGACTTCAAATCAACTTCAATTTATGGTGATCCTATCTTAGGCCCCTTCCACACAGCTGTATAAAATCCACATTGTACTGGGTTATGTGGCAGTCTAGACTCAGATAATCCAGTTCAAAGCACGTACTGGGGATTTTGTACCTTGATATTCTGGGTTATATGGCTGTGTGGAAGGGCCCTTAGACCCCTTCTACAATGCCATATAATACAGATTATCAAAGCAGATAATCCACATTATCCACTTTGAACTGGATTAGATAATCTGGATTTTATATGGCAGTGTAGAAGGGCCCTAAGGGTTCTCTTGGCAAGATTTATTCAGACGAAGATTGCTGTCGCCTTTTTGCAATGTATAACTTTTCCAGGATCGCCCAGCTTTCCATAGCTGAGTAGGGATTGAAATTCTCCAATGCTCAAATCACTGTGCCATGCAGGGACAGCTGACCTCTCTGGAAATCCTCTCCTAAATGGCAATTAAGCTTAGGGAGGAAGAAAAATTCTCCCATTAGCACCAAAATAGTTCTCCTTCCCATACTTATCTGTCATGTGGGGTGCAGCATGTGGGAAGAGGAATGCTAAGCTTTTCCTCACCAGCTGCAATCTCTCTTGAAAATCGCCCCCTAAATGACTTTTAAACTGGGGAGAAACCTTCCATTAGTACCGGGATACACTTAAGAGTACCTGGGACTGTAGGAAATGCATGTGATGGAGTATTGCCTCGTGTAAATACATTTGGGCCCATAGATGAAGAATGTTTCTAATGGTTAGTGTACTGTTAGGATGCTACAATAATAAAGGAGAAAGTCAAGGCCCAAAGAAAGGCCATGGACCTTTGCATACAACTAAGAGACCAGTCAAGAGACTCCTTATTTGCACTGTTCTCTTCCTAGCTAGTCACTCTTTTCTGTTACTGTCTTCCTTACCTTTCCTCAGGAAGCTCCCCTTCTCTTGATCCATAACCTCCTTGGGAAGCATTGTGGAGTTACACATGTTGTTCTTCCTCATGGCTTCAAAGGAGGCATGGTCCACTATGGAGGTGATGGCTGCCTCATCTAGCTCCTTTCCTAGAAATTTTGAGAGATGCTTGATGCTGCCATAGAGGTCCTATGGAGATACAGAACACCGACACAAGTGAGATCTTTATCACCTGAAGTCCATCTTCAGCCTTATGGTCTGAGATGAAATGTGACCTATGCTTAGTAATTTGTAGTATCCCACTTATCCTGAGTACAACCATAAGACTGATTTTGAGGTCATCTCAAATCCCTAAATTATTATGTCCCAGTGGAAGAAAAACAGATAATCAAAAGCTTATTTTCCACTGCCCTGGAGCATGGACGTGGAACAATGGCTTCAAACTACAGGAAAGGAGATTCCACCTGAATATGAGGAAGAACTTCCTGACTGTGAGAGCTGTTCAGCAGTGGAACTCTCTGCCCCAGAGTGTGGTGGAGGCTCCTTCTTTGGAGGCTTTTAAACAGAGGCTGTATGGCCATCTGTTGAGGGTGCTTTGAATGCGATTTTCCCTGCTCCTTAGCAGGGGGTTGGACTGGATGGCCCACAAGGTCTCTTCCAACTCTATGATTCTAGGAATTAGCTCTTGACTTCATATCCATTATCATGTTGTACCTATTGTAAGTAACTCCAATTATACAAAATATAGGGAAATTTGCCTTGATCTTTCACAAAATAAAGGTTTGAAATAATCCTTCCCCAAAAGCACCTTTCAGATGTGTTGGACTCCAGTTCATATCTGATATATGCAGGCCAAGGATGGTGGAAATTGAAGTCTAACACAGTTTGACCATGCCAATGTAGGGACGGCTGTCTTCAGTTTTGCAGAGGAAGCAGCTCAAGAATTGATAACATGCTCCCATCATGCTTTCTTTTCCATTGTTATGACATTAACTGAATAAAAATTGTAAGGGATTGGAGTTAAGTGTTATAACATATTTTTTGCATAAATACTCCTGGCATCTTTAGGTTGGAAAGATTTATGAGTTTGAAAACTCGAGTAGTTGCTGCCAGTCAGATGCGATGGTGTGGGGCAATGTTCAGGAAGTATAAGGTAGAGAACAATTTTCTCCTATATAAATAGTCCAGCAGATGTGTCAAAATTCTATTTTCACTTTTGTAAAATACTGTCTCCTACAGCATAAAAATGAGGAAAGGAGGAGGAGGAAGAAAGGGAAAGTGGCAGCACATTTAAGACTGATTGGTTTCATTTTAGCATTTTTCTTATGAATATAAATCCAAATTTTCAGTTGCGTTTTTTGTTATGTGACTTCAACTTGTTTCTAAGCTATGACAACTCTAAGTTAAACCTATGACGGTTTTTTATTGGGTTGAGAGTGAATTCATCTATACTGTTGAATTCATGCAGAAGCTGGGGCTGTGGTGGTGCAGCAGTTAAAACCGCTAAGTTACAGAATTTGCTCACCAAAAGGTCAGCAGTACAGGGTGAGCTCTCGCCGTTAGCCCCAGCTTCTGCCAACCTAGCAGTTCTAAAACATGCAAATGTTAGTAGATCAATAGGTACTGCTTCAGCGGGAAGGTAACGTTGCTCCATGCAGTCATGCTGGCCACATGACCTTGGAGACATCTACAGACAATGAAGGGTCTTCGACTTAGAAATGGAGATGAGCACCTCCCCCCAGAGTTGCAATCAAGTAGACTTAATGTCAAGTGGAAACCTTTAACTTTTCCTAATACCACTTTAACAGCCATGTTATGGAATCCTGGAAGTTGTAGTTTGGTGAGTGATTGCCCCTCTTTGGCAGAGAAAGTCCAAAATCTTGTCAAACTACAGTACCCAGTCCTGCAGTATTGAGCTATGACAGTTCAAGTGGTGTCGAACTGCATTGATTTGGCAGTGTCGATGTACCCCATGCCTTACCCTGTCACCTAATGGGTTTCCATGGATGAGCAGAGATTCAAACAGTGGTGACCAGAGTTGCAATCCAACATTGAAACCACTTCACCACGCTGGCTTTGTCAGGTGCAAATATTAAATCCTCAGATATTTACCTCCTTCTCCTTTCCTCCTTTATATATTTAGTAAGTTTGTTCTTTTCCCCCTCCTACTTCCAAACAAGAAGATACTTAACACCATCTAGAAGAAAAGATCTCCTTCTGTGCTCTTACCTCTTGCAGCTGTTCATAGCTAATGAAGAAGATGTTACTCTTGCCCTTCAGCTTCATCCACCCACTGATGTGGTCAAACCAGGATCCAAAAGGCACTGCATAAAGGCACGCATGAAAGAACATCAATAACAGACTAGACTTCCCAAACATCACATGTTTTTTCTATAAGTGGAATAAATACATGAAGCTTGTGTTTTCAGGCCCAATCTCAATGTCACCTTTCTTTGCTGGTATTGCTTTTGATTTCCTTATATATAGAGAGAGTTGAACATCAGAAACACAAAAAGACATGCAAGCAATGGGTTCCCATGTTATCAAGTTTATGAGAGATGCTTTAGAAAATATGAAATGTGAGACAACTTTTAGGTCTCCTGGGACTGCTGCTTCTATGCGGAGTTTAAGGGCAGAAAAAGTAGATGGAGGAGGCAAAAAGAATGGTCAACCTCAAGGCAGTGTTCTTGTACTGACATTGTTTAACATCATTACTAATGATTGGCCACAACCACGACTCACAAAGAGCTTTATATATTCTGATGACCTTGGCCTAACAACACAAGCAAAAGACTTTGAAACAGTTGAAAACCAACTTGCTAATGCCCTGAAATATCTCTCCAGCTACTACAAAGATAATCACCTAAAGCCTAACCCTGCCAATCGTGAAGCCAACAGGAAACTGAAGGTTACCTGGGAAAGCCAAGAGCTTTCCCAACCTAAGTATCTCTACGTCACCATAGAGCAAACACTAACATTTAGGAAACACTGTGCAAGCACCAAACACAAAGTAGCTGCACGCAATAACATCCTGTGGAAACTTAGTAATAGTCCATAGGGTGCAGACCCAAAATTAATAAGATCATCAGCCCTGGCCTTATCTTACTCAACTGCTGAGTGTGCCTCCCCCATCTGGCATAATTCTGCCCATGCAAAACAGGTGAATATAGCACTAAATGAGACATGTAGATAATTCCAGGATGTCTTAAACGTATATCTGTTTATAGACTTTATATGCTTGATGGCATCCCCCCCCCCCCCCATGGGCGATGGGAACATAATTGCGAGAAAAATAAGGTTGAACATTGTAAAGGCCACCCACTATATGGCTATCAGCATCCTCACAGTAGACTTAAATCAAGGAAAAGTTTTGTGAGAACCACCACTCCTCTAAATGTTCCCACAGCAACAGCAAGAATATACCTGTGGGCATCAAAATCAGGCAATTCCAACTGGATGGACCCCACAAAGACCTTCCTCCAGGGGCAAACAAAGAATGAGCAACTTGAAATGAGAGCTGTTCAGCAGGGGAACTCTCAAACCCAGAGTGTGGTGGAGGCTCCTTCTTTGGAGGCTTTTAAACAGAGGCTGGATGGCCATCTTTCGGGGGTGCTTTGAATGTAATTTTCCTGCTTCTTGACAGGGGGTTGGACTGGATGGCCCATGAGGTCTCTTCCAACTCTATGATTCTATGAAGTCCCTGAATAGACTCAGAAGCGGAGTTGGCAGATCAAAAGACAACCTGGCAAAATGGCACTACCTAGAAGAAACATCTACCTTGTGCGACTGTGGAGCAGAACAAACAACGCAGCATTTGTATGTTTGCCTACAATGTCCTGCCTCATGCACAGAGAAAGAATTGTTTAAAGCTACAGACAATGCAGTCACTGTTGCCAGTTTTTCATCTAGCAGCTTGTGATCCCTTTATTTTATCAGGTTTAGATAAACTATTTTATGCAATGCTTTTGACATGAAATAAAAATCATAATTACTGCAAAAATTAGAGGAAAAGCTAGATCAGGAAAAAATGTAATATGGTATAGATGCAACTATTTGTTTTGAAGTCTACATTAAGAGAAAAGAGATAATTGCCCCATGTTCCAAGCAGACAGTTCTGCCTCATCATCTTGAATCCTTTAGTTGCGACAGATAGTGAATCTTTGACATCCCTCTGTGAGTTTGGGCTGAACAATCAAGAATGTGAGAACTCTTAGCAAGATCTATATCTAGTCGAGTTCTTAAACTCCAAAGAATGGCCAGCCGGATGTCTCAGGAAATTCACAAGCAGGGCCTGGTGGGTTTAGCCATTGTTTCTTAGCAGCCTAATCATGATCTGCCTCTGAAGAAGGAATTCCATTTGCAGCAGTCATAATTCTAAGCCACAGATAAATTATTCCCTGATATTTTCTTCCAAGCTGAAACACCGCCTGAACTAATAGGCCATCATTGCATTGTGCGACAAAGAGCAGCTAGACACTCCAATTGGATTTCTATTTTTCCTATTTGTCCGCCCATCTCCCTCTTCCAACTCACCATCCCCTTCCAAAAATCTCTCCAGGAAATGGTTAAAAGACTTGGGATCTCCAAAGGGGATGCACATCTTGGAGAAATGATAGTAGGAAACTAGCACATCCCGCGGGTCCCTCAATGTGTATACCACCTGTGGAAGAAAACACTTGCTAACTTCTGGGAGAGATTATAGTGCGGGGAACTGCCAATATATGAAAGCAGGCTATTACTCATGCTGTAAAATTTGGAAATTTGCACATTCTGAGGCTGAATTCTGCAGCAGCATCCAAAACAATAAAAGTGATAACGTCTGACAGTCAAATACAAAGACTCAAAGTTGGAGCATGCAAGGAATCAATGTATGTGTGTGTCAATTGTAAAATGAGATTCATGAAGCAGATTGGTTGGGCAATATCCAGGGAGATGGCTGAGCCTGGGACTTTTGGATACTGTTACATTTTTGTTCAGGCTTAAGCTATGTCGGTACAGAGAGAGACAGTTTGAAGAGAGAAGCAGAATTTGGAGTGTACTCTTGCTTCATGAGTTGCAGAAGTAGTTTATCCAAATGGATAAAGAAAGACTATTTTAAACCTCTCATAAAAAGGACATTATGTGAGTCGATGCAACTGATCACATAGTACATATGTTGTTCTGAACTAAGAAGAGTAAACTACTTGTTCTTTACTGTTCACCTCCATGGCATATCTGGCAAGGCACTGTGTGGACTGATCAAACGTGAACTACATGCAATTTATTTTACATTACAGCAACACCAACATATGATTCAAAGATATATTCTTAACTAGTAGGGGAAATACCATGATATATAAATACTGCCTTTCGTTTGTAAGTACAGCTGTAACGATAACTTGAAGAACTTTTGAGATTTGGAACTGACCATACCCATTGGATGAGTCAATGCAGATAAAAAAAATAATTTGTGATGTTATTTTTTAAAGTGAAAAACCAGGCCTGGAATTAAAATTGCCGTAATAAACCTTCTTGGCTATCTAAACCAGTTTATATTCTGGGATACAGGGCTGTGTGGAAGGGTCCTTGGTATCTTGTCACTCACCTTTGCTTTGGAACTGAAGAAGGCTTTGGGAAAGATCTGAATGGGAAGATGGCAGGTAAGCAGACGTGGAGATGGGAGGTTGTGTGCTGTCTCCAGACCCAGCTGAGTGGTGAACCAAGGAGCACGAAGGGAATTGAGGACACCTTGATTCCAAGTTGGGTTTCCATCGTTGAGGATCAAGCTCAGAATCTCAATCATCCATACCGTCCCTTCATAGAAGGATAAGAGAGAAGAAATCCTGACTAATAACACGATCCTATTCCGATATCCTAAGATGTAAGTTCAGTAGAGCTTATTTCTGGGTGTGTGGATAGAGTACTGAAACCCAAGTTCTGTCTTCCCAAATTCACAATCGAGACAGAATTCAGTTTAACTTTCCAAGTGTGTGAATATTTTTAAGTGGCATTTTCAACCTTGTTTTCAACTCTTTCCAAGCTAGCAATTAAGAAATGCATGTGTTGGGGAGGGGGCTCACATTAAAAGAAAATGCAATGATTTGTAAGTCTGCAAGTAAATTAGACAACCTTTTAAATTCCAGTTTTATATACCATATATACTCAAGTATAAGCCGATCCAAATATAAGCTGAGGCATCTAATTTTACCACAAAAAACTGGGAAAACGTATTGACTCGAGCATAAGCCGAGGGTGGGAAATGCAGCAGCTACTGGTCAACTTCAAAATAAAAATAGATACCAATAAAATTACATTAACTGAGGCATCAGTAGGTTAAGCGTTTTTGAATATTTACATGAAACTGTAATTTAAGATAAGACTGTCCAACTCTGATTAAACTGTTACTCTAACCTTCTTCAATGTAAATGTGCTTGCTTACGTATCATGCCAATAATAATAAAGAGAATAAAATTATAAATGTAACAAAAATAAAAATAAGAGAGTAAAATAATGGAAATGTAATAATAACAGCAATAATAGAGTAAAATAAGGTATTAATAATAATAGAATAAAATAATAAAAGTAATACTAAATAGAGTAAAATAATAAATGTAATAATAGCAATAATGAAATAGAGTAAAATAATAAATAAATGTAATAATACTAAATAGAGTAAAATAATAAATGTAATAATAATAGAGCAAAATAATGTAAATGTAATAATAATAATAAATGAAGTAAAATAATAAATGTTATAACAACAACAATGTTATAACAACAACAACAATGTTATAACAACAACAACAACAATGTTATAACAACAACAACAACAACAACAACAGAGTAAAATTATAAATAACTTTGACTCCAGAATAAGCCAAGGGGGGCTTTTTCAGCCTAAAAAAAAAGCTGGAAAACGCGGCTTGTATTTGAGTATATACAGTAATTTGAAAACTGGATCTATACCATAAGGCCTATAGTTTATAGGAAGCATGGCCTTGTAATAATTAGGACAAAGGTGAATAGATCCATATACATATAAGAGTTCCATCATATATCTCTCTCTTTCTCTATCTAAGAGTAGAGGAACAGATAGAGTCCAACCTCAAACCATATACATATAACAGTTCCGTCATATATATATATATATTTGGTTTACTTCTATACCGCATTTTTCAGCTTAGATTAGGCGACTCAATGCGGTTTACACAGTGCAAGTTATACAGTAATATACAGTTAAAACACATCACACATTACAACAAAATCAACAATTATTATAAATTCCTTATCAATTCATGACGCCTCAACAGAACAAGATCCATTCTCATAATCCTTGTGCCATTACTATGTTCAGTTTTACCGACGTCCTGTGTTCAGTTGTACTGATTAGCCAAATGCTTGCTCGTAGAGCCAAGTCTTGACCTTCCTCCGAAACGCCAGCAACGAGGGGGCCTGTCTGATGTCAACCGGTAGCCGAAGGGCCACCACCGAGAAGGCCCTGTCTCTCGTCCCCGCCAATCGTGCCTGTGATGCAGGCGGGACCGAGAGCAGGGCCTCCCCGGACGATCTTAATGTCCGCGCCGGTTCATAGGAGGAGATGCGTTCGGAGAGGTAAGAGGGGCCAGAACCGTTTAGGGCTTTGTAGGCTAATGCCAGCACCTTGAATTGTGCCCGGTAGCAAATTGGCAGCCAGTGGAGCTGGCTCAACAGAGGAGTGGTATGCTCCCTGAGTGCCGCTCCTGTTAACAACCTGGCTGCCGAGCGCTGGACCATCTGAAGCTTCCGGGCAGTCTTCAAGGGCAGCCCCACGTAGAGTGCGTTGCAGTAATCTATGCGGGATGTAACCAGAGTGTGGACTACCGTGGCCAAGTCAGACTTCCCATATCTGAAGTAATAGGTACTAATAGATCCCTATCTCAAACCATATATATGTGACTATACACACACACACAAATATTATGCTAATTTGTGTCATTTCCGCCTCAATCCCACATCTTTTAAGTACAGGAAGTCCCCAAGTTACAAATATCCGACATACAAACAACTCATAGTTAAGAACGGAGGTGAGGCAACAGGACATAAGAGAAACCTGTCCCTAGGAAGGGAAATTCACTCCTGAAAGAGTTATCCTGGGGAAAAGGTGTCTCCCCTGAAGCTTTATCACCAATCCTTGTTTCCAGAACAAGCCACATTTTTCAAAATCCAAATTCAACTTAGGAGCAAACCTACAGAACCGACCTTATTCGTAAATTGGGGACTGCCTGTATTGAAAGTAAGAGCTTTAATAGGGGTAAATCTAACTCCGAAATGTATCTCATTACAGGGTTGCTTTCCTACCAGACTTAGGGTAAGTGACGTTGAAGATGTCATCATCTCGCACTTGAAATTCATTCTCAGCAAAGCAAAGGCTGTCCACAGAATTGTATCCTGGGGGAAACTTTATCCCCTTATATTGGACGTACTGCACAGCCATCTCCTGTGAAACAAAAGGAAAGCTCGGCATGATGACAAAACTCCATTTATATTATTATACTTGAATTTAACTTAAGGCAGATTGAGAGGAAGGAACTGAGTGCAGGAAGAGTCCAACAGCCTACATCATTTTTGAATTTATGACCCCAATATGTGCCTTGGTGCCCCAACTGGACTTTGGCCAAAGAAAAGAACTACAAGTTCCTTCTTGTACAAAACACTAATATCAGACCTAAAAGCTTTTGGACAAAACCTGCATGCTAATCTTTGAGAGAGCTGCCTCTGCAAAAGTCAAACTACAGGTTGCTTTCTGAGAGCTTGAACACTTCCTCTTCGTCTTTGCTTTACCTTGCAATTATATCCCTGTCTGTACTTTCCACATTTAATTTCACTCTGACATCATTGTTTACAATCCCCGCAGTGCTTTCCCCTGCAATTGTTGGTGTGTGTACATAGATAGAATACACACATATGCGTACACACCCATTTCTGTAGTTCAGAATAGTACCGGTACTTAATGCATCTGATAAAGTGGGCTTTAGTTCACAAAAGGATATGACATTGTAAATCTGTAGTCTTGAAGCTTCCTCATGATACTTTGCGAAGGTGGCAGATGACTCAGAACTGTGCATGTCATGCATTGCAACAGGTTCCGAAGATAAACAACATTCAGGAGACTTTCAGACATTAATATTTTAGTCCCAAGACTTTTTGTACATATCCAGGTCTGGAACCACGACTCCTGTGTTGAATCAACAGCTGGGATTAAACGTCATAGCAAACTATAAATATAATTGTATTTTAAATTGGGTTGCTGTGAGTTTTTCAAGCTGTATGGCCATGTTCGAGAAGCATTATCTCCTGATGTTTCACCCACATCTATGGCAGGCATCCTCAGAGGTTGTGAGGTCTGTTAGAAACTAGGCAAGTAGGGTTATATATCTCTGGAATGATGTCCAAGCTGGGAGAAAGAACTCTTTGTCTGTTTGAGGCAAGTGTGAATGTTGCAATTGGCCAGCTCGATTAGCATTGAATGGCCTTGCAGCTTAAAAGCTGAGCTGCTTCCTGCCTGGAGGAATCCTTTGTTGGGAGGTGTTAGCTGGCCTTGATTGTTTCTTGTCTGGAATTCCCATTTTTTGAGTGTTGCTCTTTATTTACTGTCCTGATTTTACAGGTTTTTTTAAAAATAAAGAGCAACACCAAAAAACAAACAAACCAACCAACCAGGGGAATTCCAAACAAGGCTCAATCAGGGCCAGCTGACACCTCCCACCAAAGAATTTCCCCAGGCAGCAACCAGCCAGGCTTTGAAGCTGCAAGGCCATTCAATGCTAATCAAGCTGGCCAATTGCACCATTCACATTTGCCTCAAACAGACAAGAGCTCTTTCTCCCACCCTGGACATTCCACAGATATATAAACATCACTTGCCTAAAGGTACCATGTACTGAACTGCTTTTTCTGTCAATTTGTGGTAAAACATTATGTTTTGGTTCTTAATTTGTAAAATGATAACATAATTTGACGTTTTCCTTAACCCCTCCTTATTATCCAACATTTTTACTTATGTAACTTTCTGCTGGCCCGTTTATGTTCGATAAGCAAGACTCTAAGGTATATATCTTCTTTAAAGCTGATCACTCACCTGGGAATAAGTTACTTTTGCCAGGAAATGCAGGGACCAGGAGAAATCCGAATCAACAAAAATCCCAGGGAAGAGCGGGAAAACTTGTTTACAACCTAAAAGAAGAGACCAAAAGAGTTCTACAACCACCAGTTTTTATGAAAAACCGAAAAAAGAGGGTCTTGCCATCTTCACAAATTGAAGTTGCCCATTCAAAGCAAGCAGCCCAAAGGCAAATCATTAACAGAGCGCCCTTCATACAGCCCACACAGATCCATTGACCCCAGCTTTTAAAAAGCCTACGTGGGTGGAAATAATGGGAACCAAATGCGAGAAATCTCATCTTTGGAGGAGCTTGTTGTATTTATTTTGTCCTAGTCTCTGTGGCTAGAACTTGTTATTTTGTAATTGTTAACACTATTTAATTAATATCTTCTTCCACATCTTTCTTATCTACCCATTTTAGGTCAACAAATGAGAACTCATATCTTTCTCCAGTTCTATACCAGTTTTGTAAATTCACTTCAAAAAACTGGAGCTGATCCTGGATCTGGAAACAGAGAGGTGCTGAAAGTTTCTCAATGGAATTGGTTGCTGTCCTTGCTTCTTAAGAGAGGAATATGATTTTATTTATCGTATCAGGAGCAAATCAAACAGCTGTATTGCTTTTAAAAAACACACACACAAAGTTTGCAAACTTGGCATTATACTAAATATCCTTTGACCAGTCTCTGGCCACTTGGAGTGCCTCTGGTGTTGCTATAAGAAGGTCCTCCATTGTGCATGTGGCAGGACTCAGACTGAATTGTAATAGGTGGTCTGTGGTTTGCTCTTCTCCACACTCGCATGTCATGGACTCTACTTTGTAGCCCCATTTCTTAAGGTTGGCTCTGCATCTCATGGTGGCAAAGCAGTCTGTTCAGTGCCTTCTAAGTTGCCCAAGGGGGAGTCTCTCATTCGTTATCATTGATTGAGGTTTTGGGTTTTAGCCTGCCACTTTTGCACTCTTGCTTGCTGAGGTGTTCCAGCGAGTGTCTCTTTAGATCTTAGAAAACTATGTCTTGATTTAAGGCATTGGCGTGCTGGCTGATATCCGAACAGGGGATGGGATATCACTGCCTTGGTTCTTTCACTATTGGTTGCTACTTCCCGGCGAATGTCAGGTGGTGCAATACCGGCTAAACAGTGTAATTTCTCCAGTAGTGTAGGGTGCAGACAACCCATGATAATGCGACATGTCTCATTAAGAGCCACATCTACTGTTTTAGCATGGTGAGATGTGTTCCACACTGGGTATGCATACTCAGCAGCAGACTACAAAGTGCAAGGGCAGATGTCTTCACTGTATCTTTACCTCGCAAGTGAGGGAATCCAATATATTATCTATTTGCTTGTATGTTTGTAAATAAGACATATATTAGAAAATACCTTTAATTTCTAAGTGCTCCTAGGCAGCATTCTCCCAGGCACTGCTTAAGTTAGTGTGGATATACGAGGGTTATCTGGAAAGTAAGGTTACAAGGAACATAGGCCTTGTGGGGTATTTTCATGGGGGAAGTTGGTATCACTGCTGTGTAGCGGGAAGCCAGTGGAAGCGAACGAGCAATGCCAGTCATCAGTAGCTCAACTGGCATTGTGGTAAAAGTTAGAGAAGAGTGCTCTCATTCTGTTTCCCTCCAAGTGTGAAGTTTGCCCTGTAATACGCTAACTAAATGCGAAGAGCATGAACGCCACTGCAATTCATCATGAAATTGTTCCAGTTTTTGGAGAGGATGCAATGTCAAGACAGCATGTGACAAAATGGGTATGGAATATATTGTGAAACCATGAAGACACTTCACAGAGCCATCCAAAGCAAACATAGTGGGATGCTGACGGTGGCAGTGTGTCTCCTTCATGACAATGTGTGTCTGCACATTGCTCATGCAACACAAGAGTTGTTGATTTCATTTGGTTGGGATGTTTTAAGCCACCCTCTCACAGCCCTGATCCTGCACCCAGTGACCATCATCTGTTCACTAAATTGAAGGAACACCTTGGTGGAAAACACTTTTCCGATGACAAGGAGGTGAAAATTGAAGTGACGAACTGGCTGGAAAAGGCGGAGGGAGACTTTGATGACACAGGCATCAAAAACCCGTCTCATGTATGACACAATGTATTGAACTGAATGGTGATCGTGTGGAAAAATAATGTAATACCTATGCTGCAATCCCTGTAAGTTTATTTAAAATATAGTCATTCTTTGTATTTTTTTAAAAAAAAAACCTTATTCCCTTACTTTCCAGATAACCCTCGTAAAACAAAACACTACAACTGTAAATGTAGAAAAAGTACATTTTCTCAGTATATGTCTCACCTGGATCTTACCCTTCGTCATTCAAGGAACTATTCATAGGATTCTGCAAGAGGCTGCCTTGCTAGGTATTCCTACTACAGGTTGGCACACGTCAGGAGAGAATGCTTCTGGAACATAGCCATACAGTTCTGAAAACTCACAGCAACACAAGTCCCATCATCCTCAATTAATTCCCCCCACCCAAAGCCCCACCAATATTTTAAACTGGATGATGAATGAGTTGTGTGCCATGTAGGACTCTTTGTAGATCAAACATACATATAGACCTAGACATACAAACACACACACACATATTATTGGGTTATATTTTTACAACACTACTGTGTAGCCTTTGCTCCATTTTGTAAGTTATGCTATGTGTCTTGGATAGTTTTGGTCATTCACATACATCTATACACTTGCTGAAATCTAATATTCTAGATCTGGCCCAACATACATATATTTTGCGTTGCCAAAGTGAAAACTGGGAATGGTTTCTATCATTAAAAGGTTGTATAGTAGAGGGGATTTTATTAGGCTTTGCTTCTTACTGGTTGTATGTTAAGCAACACCAACTGAAATTTCTTCCTCCACACAACATACAAATGGGTAGGAACTGTTTCCAGTTTTCACTCTGCCAACCCTAATATACATGCACATGCCTAAGTTCATAAGGGCTGATGTGTAATATCCTATAAATGTTTTGACATTTTTATACATGCCTAGTATATTTTAATGGCCTGCTTTTATTGTTGGTAGCTGCAAGTCCAAACTGAGATATATTGCCAGTCAAAAGATGGTTTTAGAAGGCTGAAGGTTCCTGGGGCACAAGTTTTTGAGACGTTTTATACTTTTCCAAAGTTTTATCAATATAGGTCAGTCTCTCTATGTGTGCCTGCGACAAATATTAGGATTGTTGCCTTAGACATACATAGGTTGTAGAAGCCCATTTTTCTTTTTAAATCCGTCACAGTGTGAACAGTTGGTAAGTGTTAAGCACACTTCAGAAGCAAACGTATGTTCCAAACTATGAGACAATAAAAGAGAAAATGCCCCAGAAGGGGCTTTTTTTCTAAGCGGTCATTTTGTGGGTGTTATTGTAGGCTGGACCCTTTGAGAATGGTGCAAGAAGAGCTTATTTAGATTGGCAGGACATTCTAGGGGTGCATCCACACTGTGGAATTAATGCAGTTTGAGACCACTTTATCTGCCATAGCTCAATGCTAGGAATTACGAGAGTTGTAGTTTTACAAAGTCTGTACCTTTTCCTGCACAAGAGTGCAGATGCCAAACTACGACTCTCAGAGTCCCATAGCCTTGAACCATGGCAGTTCAAGTAGTGTCAAATTGCGTTAACTCTGCAGTGTAGACTGTTTGAAATGCAGCTATTGGATTCAGTTGAGCAAGAACAAGTGCCATTTCTCTAGAGAAAAGACTGGGGCCTCTTCTAAACTGCCATATAGATTATAACTGCCATATAATTAAGACTGCTGGTTGGGAGTCAGCTGCATTAAAGTCACTACTGACCATGAGTTCGAAGCCAGCCCGGGTCGGAGTAAGCTCCCAACTATTTGTCTAGCTTGCTGTCGACCTTTGCAGCCTGAAAGACAACTGCATCTGTCAAGTAGAAAATTTAGGTACCATTTATGCGGGAAGACAATTTAACTAATTTACAACGCCATAAAAATCTCAAGTAGCGTGCAAAAGAATGAGGAAGTACTCCATCAGTGCCACAAGTGGATGGTGAAGCAACAGCTCCCCCGGTGGCCGGTATTCGAGTATACCCTCATAAAGCTGGAAAGTTAAATAGCATCTGTGTGTCTGTCTATATATGTTGTGTGTCTATGGCATTGAATGTTTGCCATGTATATGTGCATTGTGATCTGCCCTGAGTCCCCTGTGGGGTGAGAAGGGCAGAATATAAATACTGTAAATAAATAAAATAAATAAAGCAGATAATCCCGATTTTATATGGCAGTGTAGAAGGGGCTTGGGAAACCTTTGCCTAAATAGAGTTGAATTTAACTCCATCTCCCATCAATCCCAGATAGTAGTAAGAGAAGATGGGCACTGTAGTCTAACAATATTTGGACATTCACAAAGTCCACTCAAAGAGGACTAGAGAGTTACCGTGAGCTGAAAGAATGGTTGAAATGTAATAACTATAATGTAGTTTGATAATATCCACCGCTTGATGGTATCCCAGTTTATAGGTGCCAATTGCGGGTACTGTAATAATTTCTCGGTCTGCAGATACCAAGAATTTATGCCCTCTTAGGCCTTTTTTTATTTTGTATGTTTTATACAGTTGTTTTTATACTGTGAGCAAGAATTGCATTTGTTCTGAAGGTTATAAGCAGCTCTGGGAACCTTTTCAGTTGACAGGCAAGGTAAAAATGATCTGGACAGATAAAACAGTGTTTGCCTCCTCTTTAAAATATGAGGTCAATTTCATTTCCACACTCCAGTCTTTACACCAAATACCATATTAGGAAAATTTCAACCCAAACTCTCATCTAAGGAAAAAATGTAACCAAAGTTCCAGAGGCAAATCTCAACCATAATTTTAACGTGTGCGTGGACAAACTTCAGGAAAAAGGGAAAACCAGTTACTTGGCTTTGTTAAAACCTCCATAATGAGGTATGCAAAGAGCTCAACAAAATGATGTAAAAGAGGTGGTGGTTTGAGCACTGGACTACTGATTCTGAAGACCAGAATTCAAATCTATGAAACCCACTGTGTGATCTTGAGTAAGTCATAGAATTGGAAGAGACCTT